AGTTGTTGTTACATATTCGTAGGTTCTCCCACCTTCGGATGCGCCCACGAAGTTCAGCGCGATGTTGTTTTAGGAGAGTAGATGGGAAAGAACCCATATAGGTTAGTAGTGATTGTTTGGCTAGCTTAGAGCTGTCTCCCGAGATAGCGCACGCCTCATTTTGTGTATGACCCAATGGGAAACCGTGTGGATAATCAAGAAGAGTACTGTTTCGAGATAGGGGACCATAACAGTGTCACCTTCAATGGTAGGATCCGTAAAGTCAAAAGAGACCGTCGACCCATAAACCGAGTCGACTAGTCGTCGCAAGCACTTGGCACAGCACACCTTGGAAGCAAGTGAGATGTCGTCGACATACCTACCAATACGAATAGTACTGCGCCTTCCAGGGTAGCGGGCGTCCATCTGATACTCTAGGCCACTGAGGACCGCATGCAAAGTCGAGCCGCTGAGGGGGCCACCGATGGGGATCTCTTGGAGCTGTTGCACCACGAGCCCACCTACCAAGAATAGCCGCATCCCCAAGAATCCTTCCAGATCTCTCCGAAGGCTGCGCGCCACCCAGACCGTGCGGTCCCACAGGCGTTGGTTGATATGACCTCCAAAGTAGGCGTGTGAGCGTTGTGTTCGTGGAACCGTGATGCACCGAAGAGCTTCAACTTTTGAGAACAGTCTGTCCAGGCAGTCAAGGATTCGTGCCACATCGATCGCCTCATATGCCTGGCCTGCGCCCCCAACCAGGACGCCAGGGAGCCGCATCGGCTGCAGACAACCTCTGCGCAAAGGCGGAACCGCTGTCGGTGCCGAGACCAGATGACAGCATTGGTCCAGCACACTGGGCACAGCCGTGTCGAGAGAGAGAAAGGACCACCCTGGATTGAACTGGTTGGAGAAGAAAGTGAAGGCACGGCTGACCGTTCGGTATAGTGCACGGGCTGGTAAACGCACAAAGCTGCATTTGTTGCGAAAACAACTGTGCTGTGGCTTGGAGCAACGACGTCGGCCGTCGGGCGGGGTCTGAAAATCACCGCACCAGCACTTCAGCTTGACCGTTGGGTAGATGTACGGGATATGGGATTGGTTTATAGGGCCCTCCCCAGGTGATCGCATGCTCTTGGGAATGGTGTAATCATGCAGTAACCGATACCAAGGCACCACAGCCTTCGCAGGGGCATTGATTGCCCTCCACCGTGTAGGAGCCCGAGAGACCATAGCTAACCACCGAGCCATATGATATATCCCAGAGACTTTCCACAGAGTGTTTGGATCTTTGTCTTCCACCGTAAACGTGCAAGTTTGGCAAGCCCTGGAGGCCCTTTCCTCGAACTTACTTCGTGCTGCTGTCAGGTGTCGGTAGGGTCCTTCTTCTTGAGGTCCTTCAGGGGTAGGCCGTGGAGGCTGTCGATATGGGGCATGCTGGGTCCTGTCCAGGCCCTGGGGGGCTAGCCATTTATTGAAAGAGGCTCGGGTATCCTTCGTGCGGGCGCTTGAGGGGTTTCGAGTGAGATGGGGAATACGGCCGTTCACAGGGATTCGTTCCATGTCGCCACCTCGGGCGGCGCGATTGAAGTCATCTAAAGTAAGAGAGGCAAGCTGGTCAAACTGCAGGGTGCGAAACGTGCGAGCGATGTCGCACATGCCCCCACGAATGCACGGCGCCGTCTGGACCAAAATCCGCACTGACTTAGCGGCCCACGTGGCCCAAGCCGGCCTTGTGGGTCGGGCTAGCTGGGCCGCGTTGGCCAGCCAGCCGCGCACAGCCGCCGCCTCCGAGCTGTGAGAAACTTTGATCACCGTCGGCACAGGGGCGGACAGTCGCAGACTGTTGAGGTAAGCCTTCAAAGACGATCGAACCCTTATCCGATCCATCCAATGGGGATGCAATGTTGTAATTTCCCACACGTGATACAGAAAGTCGGAACCATGCCGTCGTCCCCGACAGATGCATTCCCAAGGGATAGCGCGGGGCTGCGCAGAGATCCATTTCATCATAAGAACTGTCAGACCCCTTCCCAGGATGTGGAGGGGTCCGTAGCCGAAACCCTGCAAAGTCCACTGTTGGAGAAGGCGGTCATAGAGATCGCCGTATTTGCGTTGGAGGAAGTGTTGCCACCTATGTCGGCCAGCAAGGTACCTAGAGAAGCCCATGTGCCTAGTGCGCAGAGACGCCATTCGTCGTTCGTACCACGATTGGTTAAGCATGGTTTGAGCTTCACAATGAGGTAGAGCCCGACGCCTACTGGTTCGGTGTCTGCGCCTTCTGGGGGTCTCCCTGTACCTGGCCCGTAGACGCCCGAAATGGGGATTACTTAGATTGTGTTAGCGGCAGGTCGCGAGTAGGCAATAAACGCACTCTCCTGGGCGTGGGCTTGGGAGGAGGGTACACCCGCAAGGAAGAGCATCAGAAGCCACGAGGAGCACCCAGGGGCCAGCAGGAGGTACCGACTGCGCTCCTTGGTTGGGGTCCCATTGGAGATACAGCGGAGGCCCCGTAGGTGCTCGCGGAAGCGCCCAACTCCACCAGAGTGCCCACTTGAGTGCCGTACCATGGAGCCTTGGCCCATATAGAGACTGTCGGAGCCAAGTTGGTACACAAAGCTGAGGGAGCCCGAGTCGTTTTCCGTGGACCTCGGCGTAGGATCTGAAATGCACTTAGCCGGCATATATACAGAGGTAAATAGTTTCATCGCATGCAGCAACGTGGCGTCACCTTTCCGAGCAAAGGCTGAGATCAGACGCGGGGGAAGGTTGTGGAGCAATTTGCGGGCCTGCTGCCTCGCCCTGCGTCCACCTGTCAGAAGAGCTCTAATGCGACACAATGTTAGAGTTACCGTGAGGGCTGTGACCACTGTCGAGATGCATGGGCTTACACCTGGCCGTGGGAGGAGCTCAACGAGCTCCTTCTGAACAAGATGCACATAGTCTATATATCTAGTGGATGGAGCCGACACGAGAATCTGCCATAGACCTGAAGCCAAGACCATAACCGTCACATCACCATATCGCTGCTGGCTTCGAAGGTCGCTGTAGATAGAGATCTTAGTGGACCATCCACACGTCGCCCGAAGTTCCTTTATCACGGCGGGGAGGACCTGGGGCCCAAGTAGTGCCGTAGGAGACTGACGTGTGTCCATATGAACACGGATATAATCATCACATTCATTTTCGAGACTACCTGCGCAGCCACGTATACAGACGAAAATGAGGAATGGTCGAAGCGGGAGTCGGGGGCGGAGTACGGTAAGTATTGCAAGTATGGCAAGGATCGCCTCCAGCAAGAGGCAAGTGCATGTTGTCATCGTAGACGTTACATGTCAAACAACCAGTGGCCATATTCCAACCTTTCTTGAAATCGATCGTGATGCCATTGGGTGGATTGGAAGTCGGTGTGAGCTTGTTGTAGTTCTTGCAGAGTCATATACATGGCCCTGGTCGTCTCGTTGTATATGCTGTGTGTCCGCCATGTGGTGATGTTGGCCGTAGATACTTGGTTTAGCCATCTGCTGTCTGAACTGGCAAGCTCGCCAACTCTCAAGGCCAGTCCTCGGTCTAAAAGGATCGGTTCCATCAGCACGTCGGAAGTATACATCTATATATATATATATATATATATATATATGGATTGTTATGTAGGCGGGGTGCGGTACACACTGTCTCGTAGGATCGGCGCTCCACACTCCCCGCATCACAGTTGGATGAGTTGTCGTTAGCAAGATAACCAAGCCCTGCAGACCAGTTCCCAAGACGTTACCCTCGTTGATTGCCAGGAGAGGCGAAACCTCTGTCGCCGACGGGCGTAGACAATCACAGAGGCAACTATTCTTGTCACAAGGCCAGGCGTGGGAGATCGTGCCACACGCGCAGCCAAGCAGGGAGCCAACACGTATTTGCGGCCCTTGGGCCTTGAGCGAGCTCCTGACCCCCCTGCTTGGAGGCTTTGAACATAAAGGCTGCCAAAGTGAAACCAGACGGCAGCTATCTGGTAGGATCTCGACCAGGAGGCACGGCGAGGGGGGAGAGAGGGAGCGGGGCCACGGCCAAGAGGCAGGAGGACGAAATCGAGGAAGAGGACAAGCAGGAGAGAGAGGAAGAGGGAGACAGAGAGCCTGCGCTGGCACTCCACCAGGATCCCAAGAGTCCCGAAAACGGCGACGCGCGGATTACCCAACGCTGACAGCCCGAGACATTAGATCAAAAAACAAAAAATAGAGCATACAGGTTCCGAGCTACTGTCCAAGAGAAATATCAAACTTAAACGCATTGTGTGTGCTGAAAATTGCGTCAGAGGATTGAAATGAATGAAAAAGCACACGCGCACACACACACACACACACACACACACACACACACGCACACACATATACACACACACACTTTTTGGCGGTCGCGGCCCCGCGCGCAGCGACGAGGCGGAGCAAAGATGTAGTAACGGTCGACCACCTGGGCGTGGATGGCGGGGAGGTGAAGCGCCGCCCAACGCAGGACATTTCTTGCTGGGATGTAGCGCGCAGCCAGGAGGGAGGCACATCATCATCCGGCCGTGGATGGCAAGGAGGTGGAGCGCTGCCCAAGGCAGGACGTCCCCTGCAAGGACATGGCGCGCAGCCTCGAAAGAGGAAACACCCAAACCGGAGAGGGCTGGCAGGGTGTGTTCGCGCCACCCAGCGCGGGTCAGCACACCGGGAGAGGAGGCGCGAACACACACACACACACAAATTCTTACCCAAAAAACATTGACGTGGGAACGCTGGACTGAAAAAACATATCGCCCGCTTCGCTGCGCCCCCCACATTTATCCATGGTCCTTCCGTCCGCTCACCACGGACACCGTCCGATGTCGTCCTTCACATCTGTCCATGGTCATTGCACTCCGCCCGGGCCGTGTTTTCTCTCCACGCCTTCGCTGTCCGCCGTCCAGAACCTCTTCCACCAAACTTCTGCTCTTCCTCGACCATCCTCCTCCACCATCACCCTCCTTTCATCTCGCTGCCGTTCCTGTCCTGGCACCATCCGACTCGTAGAGTCGCATGCGGATGCGCTCGTGCACCAACTCGCTCCTGTGCGATGCCCCCCCTGCTCAGGTCGCCGCCCTTTCTTGAGAGCAGGGAGGAGAGGGAGGGGAGGGAGGCCGAGGAACAGGAGAAGAGGGAGGGGAGGATGATCAAGATGCCCGGGATGAGATGCTGAAGCAGTTTAAGAGCAGGTCGTAAGATGTAGTACCGAGTCTGACCGAAACAACTGCAAGTCTCACAAAACCATATTATCAAGCAAGGACGCTATATCAGTACGTGTGAGCGATGGTCCCAACCTCCTGCCCACTATAATCGACGCCACCTTGGAACTCGGTCGGGACGACATAGCATCCACAATTTCGAGCGGAAACACTCAATCCTTTAGCCATGAGGGGACAACGCGGACTTGGACGCCGAGGCGTTGCACACGCTGCACAACCCACACCTGTCGGTCAGGGGAGGAACGGACGCGAAGCGTGCATCAGCAATTAGAGGAGGTGGCGAAGGAGGACCACAGTAGTTCCTACCCTCGCTGTCCACCTCATGAGGGACACGAGCTGAATCCAATCATACGCGCAAGAGCCTACTGCGTAAGGCCCGAGCTTCCCCCTCCACTAAAGAACAAGATGGCTCTCGCTCTGAGGCCCCTTACGCTCGCAGGAAAAGCTTCTGCTGAAAGAGCGTCTAAACAAGTACTCTCTTGACTTAACTGGCTGGGCCAACCTCGATCAGCTATTTCGTCCCCTTTGAGATGCGAAAGGGATCTGAACAACTGTGGCCCTGCTCTGACATCAGCTTTAGTATAGCCCGCCAGATGCCAGCCCGGGGCCCTTCGAACAGCGATACCTGTTGAATTTACATCAGTTACATCAGATGCATGCGCAACCGCTGAATAAACCAGTGGCCAACGGGGAGACCTCATGGCCCATCCCGCCCGCGAGGAACACGCTGAGCAGGCCCGCAGAAGGGCTCCAAGATGCGCAGCCCCAGGACCAGAGGGGAGCTGCAAAGATACACAGCAACAGCCAGGCCGACACGTCGCAGTGTACTGTCATGCGTGTCCGTTCCCCCTGAAGCCTCCCCAAAAAATTCGAGGGGTGCCTCAAGGGTTCCAGTCCACACGCTGAATCACGCCAGCCTGTGGGCACAGGCGGTTGAACGGGGCACATCGTCCAAACCCCCTCCTGCCTTTTCGTGTTGAAGTTTACCCCTCTCCTCCCCCGGCTCCACACGCCCTACCCCCCCACAACGAGAGGTTGGAGGGCCCATTTGCGCTAAAGATGGCTCCAAGATGGCTCCAGATACCCAAAGCTGGCCTCCATGATCGCGTAAGACAGTCGATGTTGGACGAAAACGGCCTCCAACGTGCCTCCAAGAGGCCATGATATACTCCCGAGACAGCTACAAGGGGCGTCGAAGCCTGCCAAGGATCCCCCCAAGATGCGAACACCCTTAAAACAACTTAGGGATTCAAGCGATTTTGAGTTTGTCGCCTTTTTTGCAAGGCTTGTGAGGCCTCTCAAGCTGGCCCCAGGATGTCACAAGAGAGAACCAGGGCGGGCCTAGGAGGGCTCCAAGCCGGCTCAAGAGCTCCGAAGAGCAGCCAAAGCGCGCTCCCAGAGGTCACCCAGCGCTTGTTTGTTCGGGAGGGGGGCTCTAAAATTAGGACCCTTTTTTCCATTGGTGTCCTCCAAGGGGGCTTTTCCAAAAAGCAAACCACAGTGCCCCGAAAGGGCCCTCCTCCTCCTCCTCCTCCTCCACCTCCTCCTCCTCCTCATCCTCCGCCTCCTCATCGTCCTCCTCCTCCTCCTCCTCCTCATCCCTGCTCCCTTCGCCCCTGGCGGAGGGTCAGGGCAAATGCCTTTAATCCGCCTCTCGCTCCCAGCGAACTCCGGCTCGACACCTTCTTCTTGCGCTGTCGCCTACCCTCACTCCCATGCCTCCCTCCCTCCAGGAGCGGGAGGCCCTGGCCGAGACACCAACCCCACCCCACCCGCGGAGTCCGGAGGCGCCAACCGGTGGACCCCTCGATGTCTGGCCGCTTGTGCGGCGTGGCCACCGCCAGCAGCCGGCATGAGCGAGCCAGCGCCGCGAGCCTGGCGGGGTTCCCGGACACAGACCCGACAGGCGCCATGCGAATTGTTACGAGGATCCCCGCGCTTCAGGCTTCGGGATATGTTCAAAGAGTACGTGTTTCGCCCCTGGGAAACGGCTGCGGCAACAACGTGCGAAGTGTGAAGCGATGCTTCACATGATCATGCTGCCAGGAGGGGACACAATCGGACACATCGTGCCGCCCTCTCTTTGGGCTCCCCCGTTCTCAGGGCGGAACCGCGTCGAGCCACCTGGACGGCACGGGCCTCTTTCCTCCTGCTGGGCAAGTTCTGCGTCGCTCTTGGGGCCGCCTGCGGCCCCTGTGCCCGTCAAAAACACCCGCGGCCGGACAAAAACGGGCTGAGGGGGATAGGTTCGAGACCCCTGGGGTCATCGGAGGTCCTAATCAGACCAAGGAGGAGGTGGCGATCTAGGCTTGGCTGTGGCATTTCTTCGAGGGGAAAATCCTAACGAATCCTGGGGAAGCCCCTACGGCAAGAGTAACCTGGGCAAGAGTGACCCTTGGTGCGCGGCGGCTTTCCGGTGGCCGCGGGGAGGGAGGAGGGAGGTGGCGGGAGGGAAAATCCAAGCGCGCAAGCCAGTGCTGGGGGGCCCGCTGGGGCTGGGTGGGGGGGGGGGGCGCAAAATCCAAGCACGCAAGCCAATGCTGGGGGGCCTGGGACACATGTGGGCCCGCACCAAAGGTGACTCCGGCGAAGGGTCGCGTGGCCGATGGAAGTATGGGGAGCGCGGGCCGTGGCCGGGCGCCCTGGCAAGCGCGCGAGGGGCGCTGGCGCCCACGGAGGGGGGACGCACGCCGAGACGACGGCAAAGAGACGCCAAACATCGGGCAGAGACCATCCGGGAATCTCTGAAAGCTGACGGGTCTGGGTCATCATCGTCAGACCTATCCCCATCCCCGGGTGGGCCAGGGTCCCTTCAGCCACCAGCGTGCCCCCTCGAGGCGGGCATGGATTCCGCGAAACCCGACGGAGACGGCATCCATCTACCCCCAGATGGGCGGGTAAGCTGGACAGCGGGGCCAAGGCTTTCCCAGTGGGCACGGGGATAGATCTAACGATGCTGACCGGAGGATGTATCGGGCGCCGTGGCAGTTCCAGGCCGCTCTAGAGCGCTCTCGCGCGGTTGATGTAGGCCTGCCTGACACGCGCAGGCGGCGGGCTGGAGGGGCGCCGAAGCACCGAGGGGAGGGGGCCCACCCAGAGCGAGCTCTGGTGGGGCTGAGGAGAGACGGGAGAAGCTCAGCGATGCTGGTGGCAAATCAGAGTGAGGCGCGTGGGACAATACTACGGCGAAGTGATCGATTACCCGCAGAACCTGCTCTAAAACCTGCATGCGCGGACAACGTCTTATTGTTGGACACAAGTGCCAGCGACATCTCGAGCATCATCAAAAATCTGGACGCGGAGCCTCGCAGATACGGACTCGAACTGTAGCTCATGGACAAGACTTTCGTCTCGATGAACGCATCGGCGCAAAAGCGCACTGAGGTGTACCAATGAGCGTTGCAATCAGGACCAACAAACAAATATCCGCCGACCCTGTCGGCGTGGACGACGCTCTTCCGTTGGTCGCCGTCGTCATCGTCGTATCGTCTCCGTCGTCTCCTCGTCTTGTCCGTCGTCGTCTCCGTCTCCGTCGTCTCCTCGTCGTCTCCGTCAATCGTCGTCTCCGTCGCCCCCCGTCTCGTTTCCCTGGGCCCTCCTCCTGAAGCGCGCCAGCCAAAGCGACATTGAGCAACGTCGTAGCTGAGTCGAGAGGAACCCCCCTCCCTTTGATCCCTTCTCCGCCGGGGGGTTGAATCCTGGGGGTTGAATCCCTGGGGGGGGTCCCTGGGGGGGAGGTCCCCGTGGAGGGGGGGGGTCAGATGCACATCCCCCCTGGGCGGCTCCAGGGCCCGGAAAAGCTCCAAGACGCGGCCCGGCAAGAGTGCCCCGAGAGGCTCCCAACACGGTCCTCGAGGGCTCCAAATCGCCGAACGGTCCAAGACGTCAAAGTAGCCTCCAGACGGCTCAAGAGGTTTTCAAAACGCCCCAAGAGGCGTGCAAGAGCACTCACAAGCGAGCCCCAAGGGGCAAACACCAGCGATTTTCCTGAAGTGTTTGAAAATGTTTGGCGTTCTCGCCTTGTCGCCTTCCCGACGCTCCAAGACAGCCCAAGAGGCCCCCAAGATCGCCCAAGAGGCCTCCAAGAGGACTCCAACACTACCCAAGAGGGCCCCAAGACTGCCCAAGAGGCCTCCAAGACAGCCAAAGAGGCCCTGAAGACGGCTCCAAGGAGGAGCCCAAACGGGGGATCCTCCGAACGGACATTTCGAGCCCTCGGCCTGAGAGGCTCCCAGGAGGCACCCGGAGGCACCCAAAAAGCTCCCCAAGAGGTACCAAAGAGACCCCCAGGAAGCCCCAAGAGGCCCCCACGAGGCTTCCAAGAGGCCCCCAAGAGCCCCCCAAGAGGCCACAAAACTACCCTCAAGAGGCCCCCGAGAGCGGTCGTCGTCGTCGTCGTCGTCGTCGACGTCGTCGTCGTCGTTCAGGGTCGGCGGCACTGGCCGTAAGGCCCCTCCAAAATCATTGGGCCAGAAGCTGTCTACGCACAAGTAAAATTCAACGGAGCTGAATAACAGAGTTGCCTCATATTGGGTGTCATCCGCAAAGCACAAACAGGCTACAATAGCCGAACACCTCTGCAACGTCGAATGACATACTTTATATCGACTGTCTCTCCATATCTCCATGCGTGTTGTGCGAAGCAAGTGCTCAGACTCCACGCATGGGCCAGGACTGGCGGCTACGAGCCACCCGAAGAAGAATCCTCAGAAAAATCGTGGGATCCCGACGGTGGTCTGACGAAGACTGGGTGAGCACACGCGTCGATCTGGCGACAAGGTTGGACGTCGGAGACTGGGTCGAGGATTTGTGGAAAACAATGCCAGCGTGGACCCCAAACATTGATTCCAGCAGGTCTATGTGGTGCTAGATATGTGGAGCAATCTAGGTGGTGCAATGTATGCGGAGCAATTAATTTCTATTCGCAATGAATTGTTCACTCCACTGCTCGCGCAAACATCCCACCCACCCAACCGCAACTTGGTTTGCAAAATCTCTTAAGACCGTGACGGTGGGTACCAAATGGCACTTGGCGACGACACCGATGCCGACGACGACAGCGACAACGACGACGACGACGACGCCGCCGACAACGACTACGACGACACCGAGGACGTCTCGAACGACTTCGACGACGCCGATAACGACAACGACGACGACACCGACGACGACGACGCCGACGACGATGATGATGACGACGACGACGACACCGACGACGCCGACGCCGACGCCGACGACGACGACGATGACGACGCCGACAGCGACGACGACGACGCCGACGACGACGACGACGACGCCGCCGACGACGACGACGACGAAGACGACGACGACGTCGCCAACGAAGACGACGACGACGACGAGGGAGGAGGGAGGACGACGACGGCGGCAACGACGACAACGACGAGGGAGGAGGGAGGACGGCGACGATGCGAACGACGAAGAAGGAGGGAGGACGGCGACGCCGACGACAGCAACGACGAGGGAGGAGGGAAGACGACGACGACGACGACGACGACGACGACGACGACGACGGCGACGAAATAGGAGGGACAACGACGAAACGCCGACGAAGACGAAGAGGGAGGAAGGACGACCACGGCGACAACGACGGCGACGACGACGACGCCAAGACGACGACGACGACGAGGAAAGACAGAGGACGACGACGGCGACGACGACGACGAGGGAGGAGGGAGGACGGCGACGACGACGACGACGACGCAAGAGCGCGCACGCACGCTTTGGTTGAAAATCCGTGTTGCGAAGCCGGTTGTTTCTGTATGTTTGTTGGGCACTCGATTTTGAAATCCTTCCGAAACCGAAGGTCTTTGAAGGATTTCGGCATGCGCGCGCGACGACGGCACGCGCGCAAGAGCGTTCGAGAGATTTCGACATGCGCGCGCGAAGCCCGTTTGGTAGTATTTCTTAACAATCCTGAAATACCGATGGTTTCCTTAAGGCTTCGCAAGAGCGCGCGAAAGTGTTATATACATATATATAACAAAAACAGTGTTGCTAAGCACGGTGTTTTTGTATGTGTTTTGGAAACTCGATTTTGAAATCCTTCCGAACCCGAAGGTTTTTGAAGGATTTCGGCATGCGCGCGTGACGACGCGCGCGTGCGCACTTCGTCCCATTTGTTGCAAGGGATTATTGAAAACTTGTGGTTTTTGGTACGTAAACCAGAGAGTGCGCATAGTGTTTTTTGCAGAGGATGGCCGGGGGGGGGCGATACCGGTTTGGCTGGGATAATACGGGTTCATATTTAGAATGGACGATGGGGCATAATCATATGTAAATTACACCCCGAAAAGGTGTCCCGTTTATTCCTGGGGGGTAGTCTATTCTCTTTTTAGAAAGGAGAATCAAGGTGGTGCAATCCATGTGGTGCAATAGATGTTATGCAACATATGTTGTACAACCAATGTGTAAATGTACCATGTAAAAAACATATATACACATATGTATATGGTAAAATCTGCGATGTGCAATATGTGAGGTCTCTCCCCTCCTCCCGTCTCCCCCCTCACTACGGTACACCCCCCACGCGTTTCGTGGTCCCATACGGAGCTCCACCGAAAGCCCCAGTGGCACTGTCCACATGCGTCCGCCACACCCATTTCGGCAGACCCCTCAAACGTTTCGTGGCCCCATGTGGAGCTCCACCCAAGGCCCCAATGACACCGTCCACATGCGCCCGCCACATCCATTTCGGCACACCCCTCACACGCTTCGTGGCCCCATACGGAGCTCCACCCAAGGCCCCAGTGGCACCGTCCACATGCGTCCGCCACACCCAGTTCGGCACACCCCTCACACGTTTCGTGACTCAAAAAGAAGCTCCACCCAAGGCCCTAATGCCACCGTCCACATGCGTCCTCCGCACCAATTGTGGCACACCCCTCACACGTTTCGTGGCCCTGCAGGGAACCCCACCCAAGGCCCAGATGGCACCGTCCACATGCGTCCGCCACACCCATTTCGGCACACCCCTCACAGGCTTCGTGGCCCCATGCGGAGCACCACCCAATACCCCCAATGGCACCGTCCACATGCGTCCGCCACACCCATTTCGGCACACCCCTCAAACGTTTCGTGGCCCCATGCGGAGCTCCACCCAAGGCCCAAATGCCACCGTCAACATGCGTCCTCCGCACCAATTGCGGCACATCCCTCACACGTTTCGTGGCCCTGCAGGGAACCCCACCCAATGCCCCCACTGGCACATTCCACATGCGTCCGCCACACCCATTTCGGCACACCCCTCACACGCTTCGTGGCCCCATACGGAGCTCCACCCAAGGCCCCAGTGGCACCGTCCACATGCGTCCGCCACACCAACGTCAGCACACCCCTCACACGTTTCGTGCCCCCATACGGAGCTCCACCGAAGGCCCCTGAAGCACCGTCCACATGCGTCCGCCACACCCATGTCGGCACACACCTCACACGTTGCGTGGCCCCATAAGGAGCTCCACCGAAGGCCCCAGAGGCACCGTCCACATGCGTCCGCCACACCAACGTCAGCACACCCCTCACACGTTTCGTGCCGCCATAGGGAGTTTCACCGAAGATGATACTCACGACCGCGGTGCTCACAGCTGCAGATGGTTGGGGTTTTCGCCGCGCTAATTATACATGTTGTTTTGAACGCTCGATTTTGAAATCCTCACGAAACCTAAAACGTTTTTGAAGAATTTCGGCATGCGCGCGCGACGACGCACGCGTGCGTACATCGTTTCATTTTTGGCAAGGGGTTCTTGAAAAGCTGATGATATGCGATGAACAGGTGCGCGCGCATAGCATTCGTTCCAAAGGATTATGGGGGGGGGCGATACCGGCCTGTCTGGGAAGGCACGCATTCATATTGAGGATGGACGATGGGGCAGCATCGTGTGCAAATTGCATTACGAAAATGAAAACGGATAATCACGGGGGTAGACCTTCTGTCC